GAGGCAGCTGGACTCGACGTCAGGTGAGGATGACGCCATGATAGCGTCTGGCGCCTTAATTACTTACTACTAGCTTTTGTTGGAATTAATTAACGTGGCAAACCAAATCAATCTATCTAAGCCGCCGAGGGTTAACAACTCTTAACTCAGAGAACAGAGATAACACGGTAGGTAGCCATCGACCATCGTGGTCCAATCCAAGTCAAACCACCCCTCCTCCTGCCTCCTGCGTCCTGCCCTTCCGGCCCCTATAAATAGTCCATCACCACATGAGAGCAGAGCACAACAACAGCTAACAGAGCAAAGCAGAGCAGGTGTGGAGCGTGGCGGAGACGCTTCCTGAGGACGTGCTGGGGAAGATGGGCGCGGCGCCGGCGCCGGCGTGGGAGGACCACCGCGTCATCTCCCCACGCGACCTCGCGGGCGCCGACGGCGTGCTGCGGGGGTTTCCCACGCGGTTCGGCATGATGGCGGCGCAGATGAAGGCGTTCCTAGACGCCACGGGCGGGCTGTGGCGGGACCAGGCGCTGGCGGGGAAGCCCGCGGGCGTGTTCGTCGCCACGGACACGCAGGGCGGCGGGCAGGAGACCACCGCGCTCACCGCCGTCACGCAGCTCGCGCACCACGGCATGCTCTTCCTTCGTGCGCCTGGGTTACGCCTTCGGCGCCGGCATGCCCGGTGTTGACGAGGTCAGCGGTGGCAGCCCCTACGGCGCGGGCACCTTCGCCGGCGCCGATGGCAGCAGGACGCCCACCGAGGCGGAGCTCGCCATCGCCAGACACCAGGGCACCTACTTCGCCGGCATTGCCAAGAAGCTCAAGGCCGGAGCCGCGGCCCTCGCTGCCGAAGTCTCCTCAGCCTAATAATGATATTAATCAGTCGTCATGTCTACTCAGACTGCCTTTATTTAATTTCCTGCTTTATTATTAATTCATTGATGTTTTTTGGCGACAGAATAATATTGAACTACGTACGTACTACATGGCATGCTTTGCTTGTTCCTAAACATGATGTCATAAGTGGCTCCAGAGACTAGAGGACAAAAAAAAACTCGAAGGAGTTTGTGTTATCCATTAAAAGAAAAAAATCTTAGGCGCACGTCGTACCAAGAACTACTCCCACATTGTATTATTTTTAATATTATTTTATTTGAGCCCTACTAGGATTAAGGTTTTAATTCAGCACTCAATTCGCTCCCTTTTAGACGCTAAGATCTTTCACACACATATACATATATATATATATATATATATATATATATATATATATATATATATACACACACACGATGAGGCTAAAATGCACCTGGGTGTATTCTCTATATAAATGCACCCACCCTTGAGACGCTGGAGCACGGCGAGCGCTGAAGTTGCATCTGGGCGCTGGAGTCCAACCTGATTGACTCAAGACGCATGTATATCCCGAGACCCTTGAGAACTGACAGGCCAGGCGCGCCTCAGCCAAACTCATCCCTTCAACCGATTACAATTTTCGTCAGACACAAATTGCAACATTGGTGGTAGGCCGCTTGCATTCCGGTTGGGTAGGCCCGCTGTAACCGCATCTGGACAACTAGTTGTAGTTCGTTTGTATCCTGGGCCCAACTTAGCCCGTCACCGATTGCATCTTCATCAGTACATAAATTGCAACTCATCCCTTCAACCGATTGCAACTTCTATCGTGATACAAATTGCAACCTTGGTGGTAGGCCATTGCATTCGGTTAGGTCGGCTAGTTGCAATCGCTTCTGACGGGTCAAGGTTGCAGCCTCCGTGTTGTATACAAGTTCAACTCAGCCCGTCACCGATTGCATCTTCAACATATAAATTGCAACTCATTCATTCAACCGATTGTAACTTCTCCGGTACATAAATTACAACTCGCTCACACGCCATTCAGAGTGTTCCGCCTCATGCCCTGGTGGGGCGGTGTTGGCGTGGGAGAGGTAGAGGTTTGTGGCGCTACCGATTAGTGGGTTAGTTTGGCCGGTTGTTTCAGACAAGACATCGCCAATTGGCCTAGGTGCATTCTGTACACAGATTGCACCTGTAGTGCATTTATAGTAATATATATATATATATATATATATATATATATATATATATATATATATATATATATATATATATATATATATATATATATATATATATTACTTTTTGATTGATGGGACGACAGGGACAAACGGTCCTCAACTAGTATATTACCGTGATACTGAGCTAAGGAGGTGCGTCTGTCGGGACGTCTCTACTGGTGGGTCGCAACACCAACCCAACACTCTTATACACTCATCTATTCTCCTCCAACTACGCCTCGTCAGGAGCCCATCGTCCATTCCTCTCCATACCGCACCTTCAAGCGTCCATGCCGCCGTGGCGTGCTCCAGCATGACCACACCGCCACAGCGCTCTCCACCTCTCCCGATTGGCTGTCATCCTTCTCTTCCACGGTGCTCCAGCCGCTGCAGCCCGCCATCCTTCCTCTCCATCTGGACCATCTCGCCGTCACAGGCGCTCTCACCGCGCCGCCGCTTTTCTCCACCGGAGCTGCGCCCACTCCGCGATATCGAGCTCCACGCCGCATCAAGCTCCGCGCCGACGTTCCTCCATTCGCCCAAGGCGCAAGTAGATGTTTCTTTGAAAGTGCATGTTGCAAGCGTATGTTTTAAGTGCTTTATATGTTGCGAGGTATGTTATAAGTGTTTCATATCGATGTTGCAAAAGTAGATCGATATGTTGCCTATGTTGCAATGGTTGTACACGTATGTTGCAAATATCTGCTTCCAATGTTTCATCTTTTTTTTTTAGATGTGTGTTGCAGTGTTTCACACATATGTTGCAGGTGCTTTATCTTGATATTGCGTATGTTCTCAATGTTTTTTCAAGTGTTCTCGTGTGATTTTTTTATGCAGTGTTTGTGCGTGTGTTTTAAGTGTTCATTTGTCGTTAGGACGTATGTTGCAAGTATTGTATCCGAATGTTTCAAAAGTAGATCGGGTGTCGCACGTATTGCAATGTTACCCACCTTCTGCAGCTGCTGGGTGGGGCGCAGACGCTACGTGGGGTCGGGTGGGGCGCAGATGCCACGTGGGGTCGGGCGGTACGCGGAGGAGTGCAAAAGGGAACGGGTGTAAGCGCAGCGTCGGATGTAGCATTGCCGTAATATATGAACCATGGATGCCGGCGCGAAGTTCAGAGAGAGAGTCGCAGCCCAAAGTCTTGCGCCTAAGAACAGTTATAGAAGAGTGGAGGAGAGTTTACATTTTAAATACGGAGGGCCCAGAGGGCAGGCGGCCATTTGAAGCAATGAGCAATTTTCCCCCCTATCGCTATGCTAGTTCTTATCTCATTCCCAACTTATATTAGTTGTCTAAACTAGCATTGTACCTAAATCTAATTTGTTCCTTAAGAGGCTCCTAACAGTCTCTTACATTCCTGCTATATGAGAAACAATTTTAGGAGTGTAAATTGATAGTGGCAACAGAAACGCAGAATAGTTTTCTTAAATACTAAGACTTGGTTGGGGTATTTTGTGCATGAAACACATTAAGAAATTTAGAGCTGATACTTTTGTGAAGCTTTGGTGCCTTGTTTGAGGTAACTGCTTAGGAGCATGCTTCTATGTTCTGTTGGGCAATGGTCAGTGCAGCTCGGCATAGATAACAAAGGTGCAGTTTCAGTAATTCATCAGATCAATTATGAGATTAAGCAATTTTTTTCCAGTACTAACTCTGTACCTGAAGTTGCACGGTTTGTGTGTCTGGATTTGGTGCAAGCTTTCCTGGTGTAATTAGGAGCATGCTTCTTGGATCATCAGGAGATGGTTTGGCTGCCTTGTTCTTGCCATTCTCATCAAGATTTTTTTCACTGGGAATTGCAGAAGCATTTTGTCCAACAGAAGCTTGTGTTCGCACTGGTGCGGGAAGTGCTGCACTCGGATCGATCACTGCTGCTATGGTTGATTTATCACCGAGGGTTGCTGAAGTTGTTCTGCTGCCCTTTTGCCAACAATAGATTCTCTCTTTGTTTCCTTTTGAATTTCATGTCACATTGGGAGCAGTGGAGATCCTATATAATCTTCTAAGATTCCTAGAAATTAGATTTATTGAATTGAATCTACAGTTTTGTTCCCATGGTATTTTTCTCTTGCCGGCAATTCTTTTTGGTTTAAAGATTTACACTTACTTGGCTTGAACAAGATTTGCATTAAGAGCCTGGGGCCCAAAACAGCGTAGTCTATGTGCAGTCCTTTTTTTTGTGTCCTCATTCCTCCAACGTTCCATTGTATGTTTCAAAGAAGATGATACTGGTTAGAAGAATTGAGGGATATGTGGCACATTTTCATTTTCTTCACACAGAAATTACTGCTCGATATTGATGACAGAACAACTTCATCAGCATGTCTCCTATATATTAGTACACATACACTGAATTAAACTTGTATGCATAAATTATGTAGATTCTAGTTCTTAATTAATATACTTTTTATTAAGTAGCTAATTCAAAGAAGAAAACAGAGCTTTTGTGGCTGTTAAGGATATAATAATAATTTAAGATAAATAGACTGATACAAAAGATTGGCTTATTATAATATGATTATTGTAGCCTGAACTAATATGGAACGAAATTTGAAGGGTTTTTTTGGCAACTTCAATGGAGAACCACTTTATGTACCTTTTCCCATTGAGAAGCCTTGGAATGGTCAGAATCACCTTTTTACTGTTCTCGTCATCGGATTGTTTTCAATGAGTACTTGTTTTTTTCCCTTAACGCTTACTCTTGTCTTTTACTAGAAAAATGTTATTCATCAAGCTACTCATGCCGATAATTTCTTGGATTATGTGATTCACCTACTGAAGTTATTTCACTTGGACAACATATCATTCTATCATGTGAATATGTAACATGCAAGACAGTGTGACATTATAAATCTGTACAGCTTGACAACAGCTGCATCGACTATTTGGGAGTTGCAAAAATCTTGGTGTATGTAGGAAGTATTGTAAGAGGCTTTGATTGTCTCAAACTTGACATTTTTCTCCTACACATCCGGCAGGATCATGGGTTTCTCATGGTACACATTTACAACAGGATCGGAGGCCCTGCAGTACTGGTGCTAATAAGGCTGCCATGGCGACAAGAGCTGAGGTTCACTGGTTCAAAGAAATGAAGGTAATGGTGATCCAACTGTCATTGTACCCATGATCAAGCATGGAGGCTCTGGTCATGCCTGCCTGAACAAGCAAAGAGAAGATGCTTAAAGTGTCAGCTTAGGAACAGGTGGTGATAGAATGAGAAGATGACGGGTTGATGCTCCAATCCAGTGATCTGCCATGAGGCATAGAGGCTGCAAGTAGTGTGCATGGTCCTGCAAAGCAAACATGATGCATGAAAGGAAGTGCTTGACATGGTGCTGATTGCAATGTTTTATTGAGGCATGCCTTCTGAAGCTTCACCTTGAAAAAAGTAAAACTCCTACACCTGCCTTTCCAAGGTGCTTGTCAGATAATGAGGATCGTGTTTGTTCTTTTTGTTTTCAGTGATCATGAGAACAGATCATCGTAGCAGCTAAAGTGACTAAATCACATAGGCATATATCCCTTTACAACCCGAGGAAGCAAGGCCACCACATGCCAATGTCTTCTCTGTACCCCTTTTGTTACTTTTTCCATGAGGGTTTTGGGATAGTTTTGGGCATGTGACTCTGAAAGCTCAAAGACGGACAGGTTGAAAGCAAACAACAAACACTGCTGCACCTCTAAACTCCATATGATGACTTATATATAGTATCATATGTGAAAACTTAATCCACTCTCCAATTCCATTGGCCACTATCATTACAAAATGATCACCACAACCCAATGAATAAAACCAAAACAGTTACATCACTCACACACACCTCTATTTTTTTATGGAATGCGGTAATAATAAATATATAAATAAAAATAGCCCTTCTTATTTTCTGCACCAACAAGGAAGGGACACGAATTGGACAAAGAAAAGAAGATAGGGTCCAAAATAAGTTATGAAAAAACATAGCACATGAGCGCACACCTTAGGCCGCCAACGCCAGCGCCAGCGCCACGGCGATCGTCACCCACCGGGCGAACAGGGACGACGGCGCAGCGGCGGCCTTGTCCGCGGCATCGTCAGATGAGTCGTCGGCAGACGGGCCATCTGCAGATTCGTCCGAAGGCGCAGAGGCTGCCGAGCCGCTGCTGGGCTTCTTCTTCTTCTTCTTCTTTGGCCCTGCTTCTGGAGCGGGCGCAGGCGCGAGGTCTGCCGTTTTCGCCTTGAACAGCTCCTTAGGCTGCAGGAACTTGGACACAGCATAGACGGCGAGCGGGTCGTCGTCCCTGACGGTGGCCTGGATGGTGGAGGTGACGACGGTGGTGTCGAGCGTGACTGTGTCCTCCTTGCTCTCGGCCTCGTAGGTGTAGTCCTTCTTGGCGACGCTGGTGGTGGCGAGCGTGGTGACCTTGCCCTTGTTGGACTTGAGGAACTGCATGGAGTAGTAGTCCGGCACGGTGTGGTACAGCAGGATGGCCGTCTTGGCCTTGGCCGTCAGGTTCTTGAACTTGGGCATGAAGGCCGCCACCGCCGTGTCGACGGGGGGGCAGAAGATGGTGAGCGCCGTGTCCTTGGTGCCATTCAGGGTGTCGAACACCTTGGGGTCGGCCGCCAGCAGCCCCGCGAAGCTCTTGCAGTACTTCTTGGAGAGGATGTCGGTGAGGTTGACGGGCGCCGGCGGGGCCACGGGCGCCTCGGCTTCCGGGGACGACAGCACGCCGCTCACCTGGAGCACCGAGTAGTCGTACCGGTGGCTCTCGATCTGCTTCACGTACGTGACGGGCTTCACGGTGTCCGCCGCGTCGTCCACGATGAACGACACCTTGCCGCCGCGGTGCTGCGTTATGTTCACGTACCCTGCCATGCCGGGGGCAAATCCGGATCGCTGCACAGCACATCGATGAGGAGCATACGTTAGCTCACTTATTAATTCAGTGACACGAAATTAAATGAAAACAAGTGAAATTTAGTAATTTGCTACTGCATCGGCAGTCCCAACTTTGATGCACCGACCACCAAAGCTATTGGACTATTTGAGTCTCACGGTGTGCAACTGTGCAAGTCAAATACTCCCACCGTTCTAAGCTCAGATTATAGTTCACTCTGCTTTTATCCAAGTCAAACTTTTAAATTTGACCATGTTTCACCCTGTTCGCATCATCATTTCTGTGCTGGCTGATGCTGTTTGTTTAGTTGTGAGAGAATATCATGGCTCATGGCCGATCAAGCAAACAGGGTGCATACCCTTGACGGCTTGACCCGTTCTTTCAGGTTGGCTGAAATGCTTTTTTATTTGCTCAGCAACCAAAGAAAAAGAAAATGATTCTCCGATGGTGTGATTTTTATATCAGTCTGCACTCAGGCCTTGTTTAGATTTCAAGTTTTTTCACTCTCTCTCCATCACATCAAATCTTTAGACACATGCATGGAGTATTAAATGTAGATAAAAAAATAATTAATTACACAGTTTGATTGTAAATTATGAGACGAATCTTTTAAGTCTAGTTAGGCCATGATTGGACAATAATTGTCAAATATAAACGAAAGTACTGTGGTGCCAAATACTGATTTCTAACAACATCTAAACAAGGCCTCAGTGACTTTTTTTTATTGCAAGAGTGCACTCGGTGACTTGGAGAACGGTAAAATAAAAAGCGAATTTGAGCTGGTCCGGTAGTAATCCAGAGATTCCATAGAGTGAAAAATAATGTTACTGGAACCTTGTGATTTGTGTATCATGTCGCCGGAGAGGCCAACACGTGCATGTGCGTGGGCACCACTTCAAAAGCGACTTGTGGAGTTGTCACTAAATGGATTTACAGCATTAGCTATGAAATTTGAGTTTTTTTTAAAAAAAAATTCATTCAGGGAAAACTAAAGGTGTTCTTTTTTCTAAAAAACAAAACAAAACTTGTAGGATTCAATCCAAATTTATGATGAAGCAGAGCAAGCCGCTTTTTTTTTCTTTTTCATTCAGAATGGCTGATAGCACAAAACAGTCCAAGGCTAGAAGCAAACAAGAGCTTCAAACTGTCTAAAAATAAAACTAGTATTTGACGCTGCAGATCTAGCTAGCAAGAAACCGAGCCGAGCGGCAGGAGGAATCCGTGGGTTAATTAATTACCTGGAACAAGGTGGATGCGGCGGTGGCGGCGTGCGACAGCTGCTTGAGCTTCTTGTCGTCGTAGTAGTCGGCGACGACGTGCAGCTCGAGGATGTGGCGGAGGGTGCCGAGCGAGTAGTGTCCCCCCGTGAGGTGGCCCATGTCGCCGTTGGCCACGGCGAGCACGGTGATGGTCCGGTCCCGGTTGATGTCCCCCGCCAGGTGCGTCTCGTTGAGCAGCTTGCAGAACTGCGAGAACTCGTCGTGCTTCCCCAGGATCTGCAGGATGTCGAACCCCTCCGCCACCGCCGTCAGTGTGGCGGCCCACACCGCCACCATGGCCAGCCGCCGCCGCCGCAGGTCCATCGCCGCCGAGCTTTGGCCGTAACTGGCGGATGGGGGCAAGGGGTGAGCAGAGCAGTAACGGAGTGTCGGCGGCTCGCGGATGGGGGGAGTTCGTGAGTGGAGAGCAGAGCACTGCACTGATGGTGGAGTGGAGCAGGCGAAGTGTGGGGCAATGTAGTGTAATGCCAGCCTGGCAAGCGTCGCGGTGGCTTGATTAGCACCCTTGGAGTTTGGCGATAATTGCGCGAATGCCATCGCCGGTCGTTGTGGTGGTGGCAGTAGCACTGATGACTGGTTTCGGTAGTCTCGAATTTGGCGAGCCCTTCTTTTTTAACCGATCAACGGGATTTTTCTCTCACACCACATTAGCCGACAGTATTTTTAATCATGCCTTATCCGTAAGTCAGAGACAGATCCAGCAGTGGAGCGGGAGAGGGCTCGAGCCTCCCTCCCCATACCGGAGCAGTGGGCCTCCTGGATCTTCATTAATTTTTTAGAAAAAGTTCTATAGTGTAAATGGGATTGAGATTTAAGATCAAGTAATAGTCGAAGGTATATATTATTTAGCCCTCTAAAATTTTTTATGGATCCGCCTAAGCGATCAGGATATCAGAGGAATGTTACAGCCGTTATAAGGGACAAAATCCGGGTATAAATTAAATTATATATATATATATATATATATATATATATATATATTGTGTGTGTGTGTAAGAAAAGAAAGGATAGAGCGGTGGTGCGTTTCGTAACGCAGTCAGCCAGCCAGCCAGTGATGCACGTAGGCCAAAGCGAAATCCAGATTCCCTGGGATGATCGCGGTAGGTAGGACGTCGTCCTTTCAGCTGGACCGCTGGATGATACATACAGCGCCCAACAATTGACTCATTATGTTGTCTCATTCTGTTGTAATAATGACTAATTATTGGTTGAGACTAGAACGATTTCGTCTTCCACGACCTAGGTTCATCACAGAACTGCTTACTGCACGTCTGCACTCGCAGTGAGACAAAGCATATAAAATGGTTCGTTTTTTTTATATAAACCAAAAGACGCAAGTACTATTTCATATCCCTAATCTTGATGTCTAAACAACTTCAAAGGAGATAGATGATGAAAACCAAAATAGCAATAGTTCTAATAGGTAATACTTACAACACTTGGACAAAGCGGGATATTATTTAGATAAATGTATGCATCAATCAATATATCCTATTTTACCATGTAACATGATAACTATGAGTGGTTCGTCTTTTTTTCCTGATCACGATTACAATCATCTGTTACCTCTAGGATGTAATAGGATATTTATTTAATTATTTTATTTTGTAAAATAGAATAAATAAAAAAAAAATTAGATATTTTTAAAATTTTGATTGATGCATGCGTGATCTTTTTTTTTTGTAACTTTGGACTTCATATATATTTCGCTTGCAGTTGAGTTTTATATGTGACTTGATACACTTGATTTGCATGTGTGCCACACATGATTACGTGTTGCCGTAGGTTGTAGAGACGTGCATAGCATATTAGCATGTGATAGGGGATTACGTGTGCGTGTGCATGCGTGTTTGGTGAGTGGATACCGTGTTAGTGCATATAACGTATTACCGTTTGCAACTTTTACATCCGATAAGAATACACTTGATTTTGTCATATAATACAAATCGATAGTTCAAAATGTGATCACATTCAGATATCAACTTGATTTTGAAGACAACAAATATCCATTTGCTTTATCAAATACTCCATCCGTTCCAAACTATAAGTCACTTTTACTTTTTTGGTTTATCCATTTTGTTATGTATATAGACATAATATTATATCTAGATCCATAGCAAAATAGATGTAAAAAAAAAAGTCAAAACGACTTATAGTTTGGAATGGAGGGAGTATTTTAGTACAACTTAAATAATTGTGCATGTACAGACTTAAAATATGAGTGTGAAAGGTCTTGAAATATATTTTTAATAAAATCTCTATAGTTTAATACTTCCTCTATTCTAAGTTATAAGATGTTTTGACCTTTTAAAATACATTACTCTTACTAATATCTAGACATAATATATATTTAAGTGCATAGCAAAAGTTATATATCAAGAAAAGCCAAAACGTCTTATAATTAAAAATAGAGGGAGATTTAGAAACAAAGGGAGTAATTGAATTGCTAAAATACAACAATGTCAAAATACTCTTTAATTAGCTCATCTCCTTCCTAAATTTGGACAGTTCTCACCCTAAAAAATGGATAAGTCTTGACCCCATATGTCCAAATTTTTGTATATGGCATGAACCAACAAATCCCTCTGGTATCTTCATTTCCAAGTTCCTATGCACTAGTAATATTATACACATAGAGCTAATACAACGGTATGTACTGTGTTGATCGTCATAGTCCTGCAACAAAATGATTTTGTTTACAACAAGCACTATTTTCCCTTTTTTCTCTTTTTTATATACAAGAAACCTTTCTCTATCTAACACATAAAAGCTTCAAGAGAAGAATTTGAAAGACAGAACCTAAGAAATGTTTATACATCTATTTGAATTCGCCTCGCTTTGATTTGCCAAGCACTCAGCAGAAGCTGGTCGTGCATGAACACACAGCTACACAGCTACTAACTTCTGAAATGATCCCACGCCATCCAAAAGGCAAACTACATGATTAGTTAAAATTCCCTGTTGATCAATTCTGCATGACAGCAATGTCACTTGTTGTCTGACAAGAAACCATGTCATTGTTAGGTGGCTCAGGTCATTAAGCACATAGTTCAGTCTTCAAAATTCCTCAGCGCCAGTATCCAGTAAGATCTGCTCAAACAGCATAGCCAGAGACACACGAGTCTGCAGAACAGCAATGTGAGTCATCGCTTGATCAACAGCAAAACAGCAATCCAGCATGTTTCAGATAGCAGTGTCCATCCATCATACGCATCTGGGAATACAGGCTTCTTCGCAACTCAGATTCACCTGAAGTTGCAGTTCACAAACCAAACCCTGACACAATTGATGCTCAAGGTCACAATAGCCTTCAGAAGTGCAGAGAGGATTCTTCACAGAATACCAAATCCAGCCAAAATTCTTCAAACGCCATGCCACATGTCTACAGAGAGCTTTTCTGAGAACGCATAACCTAATCCTCATACAAGGTAAGGTGCACAGTAACGACCAAGACTCTTCAGACACGATTTCTGTCATCATTGCTTTAACCATTGGGGATAGGGCTCCGGCTGTCACCATGATATGAACCACCACGTTTAGCTTTCTCCCTTGGTGGGAGGCTCCTGGTGGGTCTTACAGCTGTAACTGGGGGAAGGTTTCTTGACGTCGATTCTTCACCACCAGCATTACGGTTCCTCCTACTTGGGGATAGCAACTGACTGTTAACAAGAAACACACAGCTAATTATGATCCTTGTTACAAAAGCAACCATTAACAAAAAGGAATGGAAAGCCGAACTTTCATATGCTATGCATTATACAAAATAATTCAGCAGTTGTTTTTTTAAGCAAGGTTTTCCCTTGAAACTTGTGTTAGACCTAATGCGGCAGTTTTAACAGGTCACATGTATAAGCATTCAATTTAGATGATAGTTATCAACTACCAAATAGAATATTGAGACAGTATACGTATTTTCTTACCACATCGACATATACAACACAGGAAGAACACAACTATAGCAACTTCCCTCTTTCTACACCTCATAGTAACATTGTATTACTCCATTTCACTTTCCCTCAACAAGCACAAGCAACTAAGAATGGCACAACTGCAAAATATAGTCACAAGATTATCCTTCAAACAAGGTTCAACAGAAGACCTGCAACTCCTGCTACGTCTCCTTCTGTAACTCCTGCTATGGCTCCTTCTGAAATTCCAGCTTCGGTCCCTCCCATGACGAGAAGATGGGGACCTTAAGTAGCTTCTCCCTCTCCTGTATTTGTGAAACGATCAAAACTGTCTGCTAAGAAAAAAAGAAAGGCACATGCAATCTAGCTCTTGTGTTCAAGGAAATCTCCTGCGAGTTCGATAAAAAATAAGAATTCAAGGAAATACCTGAAACCCATAGAACTGTTCAGGCAGTTTCTTTTGAGACGATCCCTTTCTCCACACAAGTAGCGCCTTTCTTCCCAGTCAGCTTTGAAATCACGAAGAGATTAGGGAAAAGATCAACAAAGGGCAGGAAAAGTATAAATGGATGGAGCAACCAAAAAGAATTAACCAATTAACTCTATTTTCCTGGACAGCAATCAGTAAAGCTCTGGTGTAACTCCAAAACACACACCAAAAGAAGTGAACAGAATTTATTATTAAAATGTCACATGACATGTATGTAGTAGAGAATAGTGGTGGCAAGAGCTTACCCGCTCTTGCAAAATCAACAACTATGCGGCGTCCATGAAATTCTTGACCGTCAAGTTCACGCCTTGCAACATCTGCATCCCAGTGATCATAATACTTCTGCAATATGATTTAGCAAACGAAAACACAGGGGTGGGTCTTAAATGTGAACAGCATTATGAAGTACCCATTACTAATTCCAAAGATCACAGGTTGACATCTTGTGAATCAAAGAAGTGAGAAATTCTACTTACAACGAAGCCATAGGCCCCCTTCAGATTTACTTTCCGCACTCTTGGGAATGATTGACAGAAGCAGTAATGCCATCAAGACTGCAGGTAATGAAAATGCATATCCAGTCAGTAATAAAACTACACACCACTTTGTCATAAGTGCTATTTTGATAAAATAAATGAGAATATTTTGAAAATAATTTCGAAAATCTACTTAAAACTTTGGAGCAACAGAAACCAATTTCATTGATAGCACACTCCAACCATGGACACTGATTTAGGTTGACAGCCCCCAATACCCAACAAGATTATCCAGTCAAAATTCATAAGGGACTTTGGCATGTTATGAGAAATTGACAATAAAAAAGGGAAACTAAAGACCAAGTAGAAGTGCAACCTCAATGCGTCCGCATTAAAAAGAAAGAAATGCACAATACTAACAGCGATATGTGTTTGAAATCTGCAGAATCATCTAGAAAAGTAAACATTGAACTTTTGGTCTATGGTAGTTAGCAAAGAGACCATGCTCAGTCAATAAACTAAAAAAAAATTCTAGGAGAACATGGTGGAAGGCCTGGAGTGATCAAATTGTGAAGCACTGATGTAGCTACAGGAAACATCTTTTTTTTTCTATTAGTGAACTAAATAGAGCATGCCAATAGGACAAAAGTTAAATATTATACT